CCCGAGCACCGGCGCCGGGGGACCCGTGGGTGGGCTCTTGCTGCGCGTCAGTGCGGGAAGTAAAGCCGCCCTCTGGCCTGGACCCGGCCCCCGGCCGCTGGCACGCCGCGAGCACAGCGAGCAGCTAGCCGAGTCCTCTCGAAGGCAGCTCCTCTCCTGTAGTAGAAGGCTCTTGTGACTAAACCAGGCTCTAGGTGTGCCTGGCTGGTGGTGTGCGAAAATCTCACCTCGGTACGTTGGTGTTCCTGGCGTTCATGAACTTAATTACAGAACTACAGGGAGGAGTGCGGTTCTTAAAGCTCCCTTTCTGACACGTACAGAAAGCTGTGACGCAAAAGATAACAGTAAAAGGACACGTGGATGTTGCTGACTCCTGATCCTTTTAGCTGAGCACTACTTTCTTACTCAATCCCTGGAAAGAAACTTGCTCCAAGTGGTCATCTAGAAGATCTTGGCTTCTTAGCTCGTGCACCCCATCAGCTAACTTCTAAAGACTGTGCCTTTACACGTGCTGCTGAGAGCTGATAATTTGCCACAAGGCCTTTTAGCTTGGCTGACTGGCTGTGGCACTGCATAAATTAGGATTGCCTTTCCTAGAGTTGTTAAAGCTGTTGCCATCCTGTACAGTTTCAGTGACTTTGACTAACGTAACTAGAATTGCACTGTGGCCTAGTGTTCAGGAGGAGGCAGGGTGAGTGACTCAAGACAGTAACTGTTTTTCTTCAGAGAAGACAGTTGTTCGGGTTGCTCTACTGAAGGGTTGCATTGCACTGAGTTACAGCAAATGCACAGCAAAAAGAAAAAAGTGAATGAGAAGTGATTTCCGTCTGTTTTATGTTGGTTTTGTTTGTTTTTAAATGGCAGATGCTTTCTTTACCTGTCGAAAGAATGTGCTTCTGGCGAAGAGCACGTCCACCCAGGTAGAAGACATCTTTGCTGCCACCAGAGGACGGTCGGTCCCAGAAGAGCAAGAAGCCCTTCTCCAGCAGTGGCTGGAGGAAGGAGCAGGGGATTTGCCAGCCAGTGAGAGTGCTCCAGCAGTGGGGAAGGTATCGGTTACACTCACTAGTGACTGGTTAGAAGGTTCAGAGCTATTGATGACTAGCCTCAGTGACCTGAATTTGGCTCCAGAAGTCACCAGGTGTGCTGGTCAGCAGCTCACAGAGCTACACGCCTTGGCTTCTTCAGAACCACAAGATCATGCAGTGACTGAACTGGCAGAATTACCAGCGGAAGAACCAGTGGCTGTAGCAGGCAGTGCCCCTTGGGCAGCTGTGGTGCCACAGACGGATCACCAGATAGCTGGCTGTGCCACTATCGATGTAGACGTGCAAAATGAAGACCCAGCTGTGCTGGCTTGGAGTTTAGCGCGTGATGCAGAGATCGTGCCAACGGAGCCCCCAGCCTGGCCGATTCAGGATACGATACAATTTTGTCCTCTCCTGACAGAGGTACCCTACCATGGTCAGTAGTCACAGCTCTGACACTAACATTCGGTTTGGGACTGGCATTTGTAGTGAATGTGGTCAGGCCATTGTGTGCGGGCTTGCTGTCCATAAGACATTGATTGTATCTGTCCATGCAGAATTGACAGGATCTGCTAGTGAAAACTCTAAAGTGAGTTTTTGCTGAGGGAGGGCTGGCCACAGCTAGTAGTCTGTAGATAGTCTCTAGTTAGACTGTCTGGTCTGAACATCAGTATGTGTTCATTTCCCAGGAACTGTTTGCAAGTGCTGCCTTTATAATATAAAAAGCACTCAAAAGCTGGTCGAGTGTTTCGATATTCTTGACTCTGGTCTTCTGTTATGCCACCTGTGTTGATGACTACCCAAAGGCATCCAAAAAAATCACCTGGAAACCAGAGTGGGTGAGGGCTTGCTCAGAGGCTCGAACACCCTAGCTTTGAGAATGAGAATGGCTGTTTTCTGGGTCCCAGGGGAACAGAAGTATCAGCAGCGTACCCGGCATGGCTGTAACTTGGCTTTTTGTCTCTTGCATATAGAGATTTTATGGAGAGACTGGGAGGATCTTTCTATTCAGCCCTGTGTGCTAGAACAGGTCTCGAAAAACACTCCTCTCTTTGAATTTCGAGTTATGTCTTACAACATCCTTGCCCAGGACCTGGTGGAGCAGGGCATTGATCTGTATCTCCACTGTCATCCAGACATCCTGAACTGGAACTACCGCCTTCCAAACCTATTGCAGGAGATCCAGCACTGGGATCCTGATGTGAGTATTAACAAGCCCTTCCCACATCAGTGTCACCAGAATTTGGATTCCTTGTTTGATTGAACAACATTAAAAAATAAAATAAGGGGGTCGGGTGAGGGGAAGTCCTAGGAAGATACTACCTGCTTGGTAACTGAACACTGATTCCTCTGAGAGTGTTTGAAGCCTTATGCATACATTTTTTGGTGTCTGTCTTGCTTTGGTTGTGTTGTGTAGAAACTAGTCATACTTTGATAGCAGGGCTTAACTTCTTTAAACAGCAGAAGCAGAGGAAGAAGAGAGAATGTGTGTTTGGGGAGGAAAAGACTAGGTTTATAAGGCAGCACAGGAGGGGAAGCCTGCATAGAAGAGGACTTTGTGAGTTTCTCTACTCCTGGAGTCGTCTTTCTGTGATGAAGGTTCTTCTGCCTCATCACTGGAAAGCAGAATGATCAGCTAATGTGACCTAGAAAGTTATTGCTTTCTATCTGAAAAGTACAGGACAGAGTTGCAGTAATTTCTAGCTGCAGGGTTGGTATGTGAGTGCACTTTTATGCTTTCTTCCTTCCCCAAAACAAGGTAACTAGCAGATACTGGTGGAGCGAGTGAGGTCTCTGCCTTCCTTCCAGGTTCTGTGTCTCCAGGAGGTACAAGAGAACCATTACTGGGAGCAGCTGGAACCGACGTTCAAGGAGATGGGTATGTCCTGCTTTGTGTGTCTGTACCTCCAGCTCATGGGACTGGCCAAGCAGTGCTTCCTGCTTCACGTCTTCAAAGCTCTTGGTCTTGAGAGAGCTCTTCCTGTTTGCCAGGTGGCTGCTGGCCCTACTTCTGAGCTGTCTGACTGGCCTTTTTGCCCTTTCTTTTGTAACTGATCTTTCTCGGAGTTGACAGATCAGAGCAACAAAACTGAGAGGGTCCTAGAAGGACAAGGAGAGACAAAATACCCTCAATGATAAATGATAAACTGTGGTTATTGGAACAGAACTGGGTGTAATGCTGTACCCAAATGTAGTAGGAACCTCTTCTGCTACACAGGCTTGCTGAACTCCCCAGCTGGATGGGGCCTGAAGCAGTGAGTGGATAGACCTTTTCATAGGTGATGCTTTCTTTTCAGGCTTTGCGTGCTGCTATAAACGGAGAACCGGGACAAAGACTGATGGCTGTGCAGTGTGCTATAAGCACAGCAGGTTCCAGCTGATCAGCCTCAGCCCCGTAGAATACTTCCGCCCTGGCCTGGACGTCCTCAATCGGGATAACGTGGGCTTGGTGCTGCTGCTACAGCCTCTGCTTCCGGAGGGCCCAGATCTGGAGTCGGTCAGTCCTTTGTGTGTGGCCAACACTCATGTGTTGTTCAATCCCCGGCGAGGAGATATCAAACTGGCCCAGATGGCCTTGCTGCTAGCGGAGATCGACAAGATTGCAAAAGCCAATGAAGGCAGCTACTATCCTGTCATCTTGTGTGGAGACCTGAACTCTGTACCTGATTCTCCACTATACAAATTCATCCGGAACGGTGAGCTTTCCTACCATGGGATGCCAGCCTGGAAGGTAGGTGCCAGCCAGACTGGGATTGGGTAGCTCTTTCTTGTGTGCTGCTAGGGAAGTGCATGGCTGCATTCTTTCTCTCGTGTGGAAGTAGTCCGAATACTGAATTCAGTTATTCGTCCGTCTTCCCCAAGCCTCCGGCACTGCTGGGGAAAGCAGCAGACAAATGTGTGCATGTTGTTTCCACTGCTGCTCTTTTGCTTTCTCTTGAGGCAGACCAGTGGTAGTAGAGCACTGAATTTCAGGTCCTGGTTCTCCCTGGCTACGGGATTTTTGTGCCTGGGTGGCTGGAAGTGTAGGAGAGTACAACTCCACCAAGACTTACCGAAATTTTATGTGGATGCTTGATCTGAGAACAGTTTGAAATGGGCACGTATGCTAGGGTCACTTGTGGTTACCTGTTGCTGTGTATCCATGATCAAATACATTGTCGGCTTTTAAGCTAAGTCACACCTTGGATAATAGATACCTGCAAAGTATCTTGTCAGGTACTTCTGGCTAATCGTATTCATCCCACACAGCTGAAGGTTTATTGTGTCTGCACCATCTTCTGAATAGCTTAGTTCATGCCTTTCTATGAGGGCATCCTCCTGTCTTGCGCTTGGCAAGTGTATATACATTGTCTACAGCCTGCAAAAGTTCTGCTCTTTGTTGTTGATCTTTCCTCTCTGTTTCTGACCTCCTTGCAGGTGTCTGGTCAGGAAGACTTTTCCCAGCAGTTGTATTCACGGAAACTGCTGGCACCCCTGTGGCCGAGCTCGCTGGGTGTGACGGACAGTTGCCAATACATCACCCTGTGCCAGCCAAAGAAATCAAGTGAGCTCCAGCATGTACTGAGAACATGAGTTTGCTGAGGATGAACAGTTTGTGGGTCTTGCTGTCTGAGTACCTTGGGCATGTGTTGAATGAGGCACTCAGCAAAGATTCTCCCCTTCTATCCATTTCCTTGGTGTATGAATTAAATTAAATTTTTCTGTAGTATATTGTTGTAGCCCAGTTTCTGTCACTTTCTTTCTCTAGTCAGAAGCTGAATGTTCCCCTACCAGTAACCATTGCTCTAGGTGCCTCTTTCATATTCGCAGACTTAAGCTTCTGTGCAGTTGTAAACTGTGTTCAGCAGCCACAGCTTTCAGCTGCAGGTGTTTGTGGGAGCGGTTTTGGGCAGTATTTGCACACCACTATTAGGAAATCATTCCTAAGAGCCCAGTTACAATCATGACTGTTGTCTACTCTCCTTAGGGAGGATTAAAAAAAGAAGCAGCCCACACTAAATAGCTTTTATTGGAATCTTGAATGTAGAACTTGTATTCAACCTGATCTCCAGAATTGTTTTTTTCTTTTTCAGCAGACATTTCTTTGACTTGCACACCAGCTGATCTGCGTAAAAGTCACTTGAACTTGTGATGTCTCAGAGGGGACATTCTTAATTTGTTTCATTAAGGTGCTGACCATGATTGTTGCATTGGCTAAAGGGACAGCAATAACTGTGCTCTATTCTTCTACATTTATGTGTCTGTTTTCTTCTACATTTAGGGTATTAAGTGATTCCCATTCTCGTGGTATCAGAGTGCTTGAGCACAAAAACTTGTCTCAAACTAAAGAGGTCTAAGAGGTTTAAAGGTCCAAAGTGTGTGTAGGTGTTCCCTGTAGATGTGACTTTGCTGCAGCTGTTTTCTTCTTTTAACTTGTATTTTTCCCTGCAGGCAGACATAAGTACAGCCGGGACTTCCTGCTCCAGTTTCGTTTTTGTGATGTTGCCTGTGAACGACCACCACAGCTGGTCGTCTTGGAAGGTGTGACAGATGCTAAACCAGGTATTAACGAGAGATTTTTCAGCTCGAGACTCTCCTAGCTTGTTTTTGATGAAAACGAGAGGTGGAAGTAATGCCTGGTGAGAAAAGGGGAAGGCAGAAGGGTGCCTTCTGTGGCTGTGTGGTTGCTGATGGATTCCATGAGTGCTCAGAGGAGTACAATCTTACCACCCTTATACACACTGTGTTCGTTGAGATGCACTGAGGTTCAGCCTCTTTTGGAGGCTGTTTCTTATAAAGGGATATATATATGTGTGTGTATGTGTGTATATATATATATATATTCCTTTTTTTCCTGCTTCAAGATTTTTGGTGGGGGAGAACAAGCCTGAAAACTGTAATGTCACAATGGCCACAACATAGATGACTCTGGATGCTGGTACCCAGTAGACACTGCCTCACCTCTGGGCATTGTGGCATGGCTGGTTCTGCTCTCTCCATTTCTGTTCTGCCTTTCTAGACACTTGGAGTAAGCTGTAGGTTAGGGCACATGAACTTTCTTTGAGAGCAAAGGTGGAAGTACCCTGAGCTTTGGTAGTATTAAATACTTAAAGGACATGTCCTTACCAGGAGAGAATATGACTTCTCAGTTGTTTGCACTGATCTGCTCTCAGGATGTTCCTTGCTAGTCTTAGAGCTAGGATTTCCTGTGAATATTTTTCTTTAAGGTGCCTGTGACTGGAAGCTATCTGCTCTTCTTGGGCAAAAAGATTCGTGTGGTCTCAGGAGAAGCTTCTTAGACTTGGGATGAGCAGCCTGTTCCAGGATCTGTGTAGGTCTGGCTGGAATCTCTTTGCTCCTTTGCAGACCGCCCTGCACACTGGCCCAAGCCTGCTGCCATGATGAAAGACCCTGATCCCCAGCCATTCGTCCCGAGGTAATTTGGTGCACCTTCAATGGCCCTGCTCTTCAAGCCTGGTCTTGTTTTCCTGAGCACTGAAAATCTGGCTGAAGTAAAGATGGAAATAAATGTGAGAGTGGAAGAGAGTAAGGAGGTCTGTCTGGAAGAGCCAGATGCACCCAGGGGTGTCCCAGCAGCTGGGCGCTCTTCTGTCAGCATTGTGGTGAGGCTGAGAATGAAGGGCATAGCCAGGGTTGGGTATTGGAGACAAAGGAAGTTCATAGTCCGCTTTGTCTGTGGTGTAAGTGGAGTGAATAATTCTGAAAGACTGTCTTTTATGTGTTCACAAAGTAGGAATAGTTTGGACAGTTGCATCAGCAAGGAAATGTCCAACTTCAGCTGTGACTGCAGCACTGAGCATCGCATCATTCTCGTTCCTGCCTTGGTAAACAGTGGCTGTTCACGTGCAGGTCTTCAGGCGTTATCCATCACGGCCTCAACCTGACCTCTGTATACAGCCAGTTCCAGCCACAGAGGGGACGCGTGGAGGTCACAACGATGCCCATGGGGCTTGGAGCCACCGTGGATTATATCTTCTACTCGGCAGAGCCTGTGGAGAATGGGAACAGAGGAGGTGAGTGTGGCAGTGCCAGGCTTATCCCTGTGATGTTGGGAGAGGGCTGCGAGGCATGCCAGAGTGCATCTCCATGTTAGGCGGTGCAGTTTGTTAAGCTGGGGTTGCTCTACAGGGTGTGACTTTGGCTGAAATGATGCACAAAGTGGAAGCAACATTTACTGTGGTATCATGAGAAGACACTGTTTATCTTTGCTGTGGGAAAACTGAAGCTGCTTAGCTTGTGTAGACTTTTGAGGAAGCTAGAACAGAACAGATTCTGTTCTTCTGTGTAAGTATGTTACTTGTGCTCTTGGTAACAGGCAGTGCTGGGTCCTAAGTTCAAAGCTTGGACTTGTGGTCTGACTGAGACCACGCACTGGCCTAAGAAGGTGGTGACTGATTACCTTACAATGGCACCACCTTTCTGCTGCCTGAAACAGGAGTTATGTTGATGAAAGACTGCATTTAAATGCATCCAGGAACTGTGTCTGAGCTGGTTCGGATCATGTTGGAATCAGCTTTGGGAAGGAGGTTAGGAATGAAGAGATAAATTCCTCCTCAGGGGAGAATCTGAAGCTTTTGCTAGGACTTAGTACCATGAAAGGAACTTCCCATATAAGCAGCTGTCCCGTGAATTTAGTATATACTTGATTTCTGTGCCTGCATATATATGAAACTATTGAACAGCAGTATTATAGAATGCTCACTGCTTTCACATCTAGGGTCAAAGCTGCATGCAATGTTTGTGCAGGCTGTCTTTGTTCATCAGGGAAAGACTAGCAAAGCGTTGACAAGCGTCCTTCTGTGAGTGTACAGTTAATCCACAGCACTGATCTCTGGCTGATGCTTCTTTCCGTCTTTGTCAGGTCGCAGGCTCTACCGGGATGGAGCCCTGAAGCTGCTTGGCCGCCTTTCCCTTCTCTCTGAAGATGTCTTGCTGCTGGCAAATGGCTTACCAAATCCTTTTTGTTCGTCTGATCATCTCTGCCTGCTGGCTAGCTTTGGCTTGGAGATCTCCAGCCTCAGAGAGGGTTAGTGTTGGTTCCCTTTCCCTAAAGAAAAGCTGTTCTGAATACAGCAGCTGAGGCTCTGGATTGCACAACCTGCTTGCAAGAAAACTCTTTTCCTTGTCATGCCCTAAAAGGCCCTTTCTCCCCTCACACCCTCACAAAAAGCAGGAATGGGAGAGTTGGAATGCTTTTTGCTTTGATATTTTGTGGGTCTGCAGACCTGAGCTGTGTTCCCAGTGGGCATCCAGTTGTATTCAGGCATTACCATCTCTTAAATGGATTCTTGTTCCACTGCTTTGTTTAGCAGATGTTTTAGTGCTGTGGGAACCAACATAACTCCCCATGTTTATTTGTCCCTGTGTGAGATCTTCAAGGAGCTGGGAAAGAAAGGGGCAACACTACCTACTTCTGGTTAGTTAATTGCTACCAAGGAGCAGAGGATGTAAACACCGATATTCTTTCACACCAGAACACTTTTTCTTTTAATTTCTCAGTAATAGTTTACGAAGTATGGTCCTTCCAGGACTAGTGTCGTGTTGCTGTGCTAACTGCTTGGACGTGGTTTTTACTTAATAATTTGTAAGGGCTGCCTTGGTGGCAGAAGGGTTTGTGTAGTTGAGCAGTTTCTACAAGAAGCTGCCTGTTGTGACTAATGGAGCAGGGAATGGGATCGCCAGGAATGGAGCCAGGGGTCCTACAGAGCCAGCCTCAGGATCTCTAGAACTGCAGCAAAAGCCTAGAGGCCTTGGGAAAGGCTCTCTTCCTTTCTGTCAGTCTCAGAACAGTACCTAGTCTAGTACTTGTAGAAAACGTATTTATGATCCTCCCAGTGAATATCAGGTGGAAAAAATCATCCTGTGAGGCATGACAACCCCAGGAGGCTGTAGGTCTGGGAGATATTGAAAGAGAGATGAAAATGAAAGGCATGTGAGAGGCAGCAGAGCCATCAGATGGAAAAGCTGATAGTTGTCACTTGCCCTGCTCTTTCTCTGTGCCGTCCCTGTTCCATTCAGCCTGCCAGGGGTCAGATAGCCAACCTGTAGCATGCTGCTGTGCCAGACTGGAGTTCATGCTACTGCCTTCTTCTGGAGACAGCCATGTTTAGATAGGTAGAACCTGTAGGACGGACTCCTGTCTCTAGACAGGCATTGGGAGGGAGGGAAAGGCTGTGTGAGTTGGAGCAAGATTGTCAGTCGCTTGGATCCCAGTGTACCTTTGGTGATCTATCCGTGTACTTTTGTCAGCAGTGGCTTGGCCAGTACAAAAACAGTAGAACTGTATCTGTTCTGAGGCCAGATTCCCCAGTTCAGCCTGACATTTGGTGCTTGGTTTTCCCGTGAGAGATGACAGCAACATTGGCAGAAACATTATCAATCTTCTGTTCACAAATGAGGCAGGGAAATCCAGTTGCACCTCAGGTTTTTCTGGGAAGGTACAAGGAGACTTGAAATACTGTTCTCTCTTCCTGTGTTGTACTGGTGGACTTTCATATTTTAAATGTTACTTTCTTTATTGAAAAATAAAATTTTTCTCATCTAAGAAAAAACCCAAAGTAACTGCAGCACCTTGTGCTCCTGGCGTCTGAACCCTCTGAGGACTTGGTCAACAAGGCTTTGCTGGCTGGGATGTGGAAGAGGAGAGGGCAGATTAGCTATACAAGAGAGTAGTAATGATAGTTGAAGAGAGGGAAGAAGTGGGCCTAGCTGTTGTCTCCCAGCACATCCCCAAATCCAAGAAGTTTGGCATCCAGCTTGTCTTGCAAAATGGTTTGCGTTCAGGAACTATTCCCTTCCTCCAAAAGAAAGCAAGTACTGCTGATCTTTTACAGCTCACCTCTGTAAACTGTACAGAAACAAGTGGTGTGCGTGGGGATTGTGTTCTGTGCCCATCTGAGTCTGCAAGGACTGCATATTCCCTTCTTGCCCCTGCCAGATGGTGTGGTATTTGCCTGGCGATGTGTGGATGGCTTTTGCTACCCCAGCTGGGGTAACATGTAGGAGTCTGTATAACTGAACAGCAGTCTGGGGGTGAACAGGTTTGCAGCTGTGTTTGCCCTTAGTTTCACAGGTAATGGTTCCAGTGTGGTACTGGTGTTTGTACATGGGGAGGGATGCTGAGCAGTGCATTTCTGTGGCTCTGTTTATCTGACAGTTGCACGAATTTCTGCGAGTACTCTTACTATGATTTTGTTGTTGGATGTATTTGTGAAGGGAAGGGAGGAAAGGGAAATGAGTGAACTGAGAGTTTTATTTTCTGCCAGGCTTGAGAAGAAGTTGCCAGAAAGCAGCCTGGTTGCAGATTACCAGCTGGTGGGAGTTAAGTTGTAATAGGAAACTTGGAAGACACTAAAGGTTTAAAAACAACCGACCAAAAGCAAAACAAAAACCACTGTGACACATCGTGTTGGCACTTACAACTTCGGCTGTCTGCTTCCATTGTAATTGCTGGCTAGGTCTGATGGTCAGTTGATGAGGGCAGTGTGTGTTTGTGTGAAAGCAGCCCTCCTGCCCCGCCTGTTGAGACCGTAGGGTGTGCACAGTACACCATCGGATGAACTGGCTGCCCCTGCACTGGCCAAAGCACCCTGCCAGTCCTGTGATGTAACTAAGGCATAGGAGCTGTGCTGCAACATCACAAATGCTTCTTCCATTTTACTTGAAGCAAAGACTTGACTTTTCTTTTGGGTAACTTGCATGAAGGCACCTCTCAGGGAGGTTTCAAGGTTCCAGGTATATTTTGTTGGGAAATCTAATGTTCCACAGGTCAAGCTAATGCTTTCTTTTTGTATACATGAAATAGTATGGTATGAACTTGGAAAGGTTAAGTTGTTGAACACTGGATATGGAGTCATGTGCTGAGAAACCCCAGGACAATGCCTGCGAGTCCTCTGATTTTTATTTCTGAAGGTTAGAAAGTTCCCAGAGGGACCTGCAGCTCCCAAAGCCCTGGCTCACATGTGCTTCTTTGGGCATTCATAGGTGAAACTATTTCAGAAATGCAGGATCGTTGCTAGTGACTGCATACAGATGCACAAAGGCAGAGTGGAAGCATGGATCACTGTGGGTTTTGATCGTTGTCCCTGAAGCTCTGATATAGACCCCTACAGAGATGACCTCTTTCAGGAAAGAAAAACCCTGTGTTCTGTAGCAGTTTGGAGTTAATGTCAAATGGATCTGGAGACCAGTGAATGCCTCTGGCTGTGGGGGATTGTAGTAGAAGTTTGGAGGTGGTGTGGGTGGAAAGAGTCCCTACCACTGAAACAGCAACTGGTATATAGTTGTAGGGAGATAATAATGTGTTCTGTGATGCTTTAAGAATAGCACACAGTGATATAGTAAGAGGCTGTGGTAATGAGCAACTCATGGTGGGAAGCAGAACTAAGATACCAGATGTAGCTCTTAGCACTGTTTCTGAACTAAATGCATGACTAGTTGTCATTAGCACAGTTTTCTGATGAATTACAGAGAGCTCTGTAAATGGTTATGAAAGTGGAACAACGGGAATATCTGCTACACTCAGAAAGGGAAGGTATCATAGAGGTAGGATCATCTATGCCGTCTTGGTAGTGATGCAGAGCTCAGGGAGACTGGTTCTTAGGGCAGGGACTGCCAGAGACTGCTGGCGGTGTGTATGCATACCCTTTTACCAGTCTCCTAAGCTGCAGGAGCTTGCAGCTGTAGAGGCAAACACGTGTTTGACAAAGTATCTGTTAAACAATAGCTTAAATTGCACCACAGCTGCTAGGCTGTATTTAGTTATGCTATTTAGATAGAAGTTGGGCTTCCTTCACTTTCTCAGAGTTTTAAGTTCATTACTTCAGGAGGATGCCCTTTATAATCAGTTTTTCTCAATTACATGGACTGGGAGGAGTGGTAAACAACATAATTGCTCTAGTTTCTTTCCCTTTCTCAATAAATGAAACTTGGCTGCCGCTTGAAGTCTTATTTCTCCATGCCTTTTCCTTATGAGGTATCTTTCCAGCAGCTGTTTTCCCATGACTGCCATATCCAGTTATCTTTCTGAGTTACTGATGTTGATTTTTTTCTCTAGCTGTATTCTTCAGTTAAAAGCTATGGGTGGAATTCTTTAGGGCTAACTAAGCTTTACTATAAACTCAACATTTAAATAGTGTCAAGCCGTAAGATAGTGGGTTCCCTCAGCACTGAAGAGTTAAGTGGGAGGGGTGGGAGCTCTGAAACGAACACTTAGATGGGGATAACTCTTGTTATATATAAAAAAACCCCAAACTTTAAGATTTATCATTAGTGCCATGTATGCCACCTGCTTTGTGAAGCACAGGAAAACTCTGAAATATACTTGACCTTAGTTCCTCTTCTCTGAGGAGTCTTTTAGAGGCTCTAAGAACAATTCAACAACTCGGAGAGAATCTCTTTTAAGAGCAGATCAAGGTATGTGTCCTGTGCTTAATGATATTGAGAGTGGTATTGGTAAACAGTCTGCAAAGCAGGGTGTTGCTACAGTGTGATTTCTCCTCCCATTGCCACCACCTTACAAATGAACTGTTGTTGGATGTACTGGAATTTGCAGACGTATGCATGGTTCATCCAAATGCAGATGAAGCCTTTTATGGCTTGTCTAAAGGAGGAGAACACAAGCCTTAGTGGGATACCATCTCATTTTAGTAGGCTTCCTGTTGTGCAAATTAATTGAATTGCTGGCTCTGACCTGCTCCTTACCAGACTGTAACTGCCTGGCCTGTAGTGCTTTCCACAGGCCGTCACACCGAAATGCGCAAGCCATTGAATGTGCTGCATCGTGTTTCAAAGTATGATACTGAGTTTCTGTAGAGACCTCACCTGCTGTACTGATAACCAATATGACTGATTTAACAGCTGGCATGCCTCAAGCTCTTTCTTTTTGTCAGTTGTAGAAGTTTGGTTTCTCCTGTAAAGGCAAGTTATCCTCCAAGTTCCACTGAAAATGTCATTCTAGTCTTGAAGCTCTTTTCCCTTTTATTGATTTTAAAATTTATTTATTTCAGATCTAGACTGCATATTCTTGTGCT